AAAAAAAAGCAAAACAGTTAAAACATGGCATAACAATGAACAACAAAAAAACAGATCAGAAGCATAATGAACAACATAATTTTAAAAAAAAGAAGCAAATTAGAAAACATGGCTGAACATAGAAATAAGACCGGGAAAAAATAGAATAGAAGAAGATAAAAGAGGAGATGAGTCGAACAATGAACAACAAAAATTATAAAAAAAATAGAGCACAAGCATAAATTAGAAAACAGGACAGAACAAGAATAGAGAAATAAGAACTGAAAAAAATAGAAAAGAAGAAGGGAAGAGAAGAAGAGAAAAGATGAGAGGAGTCGAACAATGAACAATGAAGCAGAGAAAATCAGAAGAGGAAGAGAAGAGAAGAAAGAGCTGAAGAAGAAGAAGAGAAACTTACCTAAGAGCAGAAGAGAAGAAGTCGAAGGTCGCAGTCGTTGATGTTTGGAAGAAGTGTGCGTAAGTGTATTTGCAAATTTTAAAAAAAAACCTAGTCAACTGCTGGACCTCGCTTAAGCGAGCTTTTCTCGCTTTTTTTCATCGCCTCGCTTCTTGCTTTTTAGGGGTGAAGCGTGCGCTTATTTACCAGTGTCGTGCTTTAGGGCAAAAAGGCACAGAGCCCTCCCCTCGCGCGCTTTTAATAACACTTGTCAAAGTACTTAAAATCGGTTGACCGGATCCGGTACGGAGCCCACACCCCCACCAATGCCGTGTCGACACGAGTGCGGCACCAAAAGTGAAGAGTCCGAGCAACTTAGCTTTTCCTGGATCCAGGTCCCTTGACTATAAGTCATTGAAGGGAAACAAAGTGAGCATTTGGGGTATGATTTAGAAGTGAAGTGGTGTGTGGTAACTATCTGTCTATTGGGACAGGTGAGCATATTCCATTATGATTTGCGTTGTTATTGATTTTTTTGAGAATGCTAGCAAATTTTATTCATCAGCACAAAGATTATGCTGGCAACAGTATTTACAGGATACTATCCTTGTGAACTTTACAAGGCTTCCAAAAATTATAGAATAGATTCTGCATCTCGTACACAAAACTCTTTACACCAAAAGTGAAAATTTAAAATACAATTCATTTTAACTACTTGTATGGAGCTACTCCTATCTTCAAAACATATGTTATTTCCTTCCTATGGTCCACCAAATGCAAGTGGATAATCCTTCACCATTTTTTCTGACTGACCATTTTACCAGCATAGTTCGAAGCTTTCAGTAGATCACATGTGCTTCCCGGCATTATCCATTTCAAATTTACCAAGGCCAAAAATAGATTCCATAGTTGGGAAGTGAAAGCACAATGGAGAAAGAGATGGCTATTGTTTTCAGATTCAGCTTTGCAGAGGAAACATCTGGAGGTATTCTCTGAAGAATATCTTGAGTTAGACAAACCCTCCTTGCTACTAGCCATGTAAAGCAGTTAACCTTGTAAGGTATTTTGATCTTCCAAATTTGCTTCCAAGGGCAGTTGATGTTCTGTTGTCCATTATTGGAGAAATAAGTATATGCATCTCTTACTGTGAATACCTTGCTGTCCATACCATTCCATACCATGGTATCCTCATTGTCATTGGGTCTTCTCAGTCCCTCCGTAGTTAGATAGAATCAATCACTATCGCCATTTCCCAATCATTTAATGCTCCCCTGAAAGTGAGATTTCATCCATTTTGGCTCCATACTTCACTGATAGGAAGGTGCAGAGGTCGAACATTAGAGTTGTAGGTTAGAGGGTAGTCGAACGTTTCTCCTCGTTGTACCGGCTAGTCTGATAGTGTTTTGTTTAGGACTGCTAGCGGTTTTTGTTGTGTTTCACACTGCATTTTTGTTGGCCTTTCCATGTATTTGCTGTTTTTTACGATGCTGATACTATTTTTCTGGTTTCTGTTGTTACAGATCTATTGTCTTTGAGCCGAGGGTCTCCCGGAAACAACCTCTCTATCCCCCCGGGGTAGGGATTGGGTCTGTGTACACTCTACCCTCCCCAGATCCCACTAGTGGGATTCTACTGGGTTGTTATTGTTGTTGTACTTCACTGATTGTTGACTTAGGCATAAGTGCTAACTTAAATATTTCAAGGAACCTATATCTTAAAGGTTCATGCCCTATCCATTTATCAGACCAAAATGCTATTTTTCTGCCATTCCCATGGCAAAATTCAGTATTAGCTGTAAAGTCTTCCCATAAAGCTCTGATGGACTTCCAATTGCTCCCCCCATAGGCTGTGTTAATTGGTTTGGTGCACCAATGACCCATTTTCCCATATTTTTGAGTTACCACCTCTTTCCACAGGTTATTTTCTTCCCTGCCATACATCCATAGCCATTTACACATTAAACTCTTGCTATGAATTTATAAGTTCCTTATTCCCATGCCCCCTACTATCTTATTTGAGGTTACTGTTTTCCATCTCACCAAATTATACCCTTTCTTTTATGTGTTTCCATGACATAAGAAATTTCTCTTGATAACATCCAATCTCTTCTCCACCTTGGCAGGAAGTTGAAATAACGACATAACATATGTAGGCAAAGCGTCCAACACACTATTTATCAAAGTGGTTCTGCCACCAAGTGATAAATAATGTGTCTTCCATCTAGCCAATTTCTTATCACATTTGTCTAGTACATTATTCCATATTCAAAGAAATTTTGCTCCTCAAAGAAATTTTGCAATGATTTGGGCTTGCGGTACCTTTAGTGCTATGGTAGATTAGTGAGTTTTTAATCAAAAGCATCCCTCTTGTTTCACTTCAACTTCTTTTTACATCCTTATTATATTTCACTTTAATCGAAAGCATCCTTTAAGTTTACCGAAGTTAACCAAAAACATCCCTCCATTAAAATTTCCGTCTACATTCGACGGATCTTTCGTGGCCTCTCTATTTTCCCCCCTTTTCTCACAAAATCTTTCATCCTCTTCCTCCTTTGACGACAAAAAATGACTTTTGGAAAGCTCGAAATGGGTTTTTTAATCGTTGAACTACCTGATCTTGGGTGAAAGTTTTACCTTTCATTGTAAATTTGCCGTTGGATAAAAAAAATCTCCATCACAAAAAGTAATAGGAAATCTGAAACGGTAAGAAGATAGAAAAATAGCAGATTAAGAAAGAACATTTTACAATGGATTTCGTGAAACGGGAAAAACCCAAAGACGAAAAAAGATGTAACAAAGAAGAGCTTGCCGGAGGTGAAGGCTCTCCCTTCTCTGGGCAAGGAAAGTTGACATAAGAATAAAGGACCCTTCAACTGTGGATGGAGATATTAATGGAGGGATGTTTTAGCTTAGTTGTGGTAAACTTAAAGGATGTTTTTTTTTGGTTAAGTAGAATATTATAAGGATGCAGTGGAAGTTGAGGTGAAACAAGAAGGGTGATTTTGGTTAAAAACTCATAGATTAGTAGCGTATTTTCTATTCATTTCATTTATTCCTGAGCTTTTAATCTATTTTAACTTCTGTTATGTCCATTCTGTAATCAGAGAGCTGTGATTTTGTGCCTTCTGTTGTATAGTAAGCAATTTCTCTGCCAAGAATGGGCAAAAACTCTGATTTTGGGCTTTCTTTGTTGGTAAACTACATGCATCATGAGAAAAAAGTGGATTGAAAAGATTCATATTGGTTATGCTCCTTGGGTTTTATAATTCAAAGTTACTTTTGTCTCTGAAGTATATTTTTTAACATGATTATTAGATTTGTTGTTATGATTTGCTTGTTCTGTAGAGGTTGATAATTGTGCTTCCTTGGTGCTGTTAAACATTTTTGGATTATGCCTAGTATTTAACAGTTTGCTTCTCTATGTGCAATTTACACCTTGTCTGGATGTGATATGCCAGCAAATTGTGCCACCAGTCTTAAATTCCTTCTCGGATCAAGATAGCAGAGTTCGTTATTACGCCTGTGAAGCTCTGTATAATATAGCAAAGGTGAGATAGATAAAGGAAGTTGTACTTTGCAATTTTTTACTTTTTTTTTGGACCTCAACTGTGCTACTTTTGCAGGTTGTAAGAGGAGATTTCATTGTGTTCTTCAACCAGATCTTTGATGCATTATGTAAGCTTTCAGCAGATTCAGATGCTAATGTGCAAAGTGCTGCTCATCTTTTGGATAGACTTGTAAAGGTAAAAGTAAAGATCTTTATATCATTGGATGTTGTACTACTTGCTATTGCATGGCGACAAGACAAAGGATTAGGTGAAGGACAAGAAATAATATGTGTATATACGTGTCTTAGGATACGCGCGTGTATCCCATCTCAATAACTATAATAGTTTAAAAATTATATAAATATTATTAAACAATGTATATCTGACATGCAATTAATAAGTGTCACTTCAAAAGTATTTTTAGATTTTGATATTGAATTAGAAAGTATAATATTATGGATATTGGGATAATAGAGAAAAAATTCTAGCCAGATAAGTTCTCAGTGTCGTATTGCAATTTTTGAGTACTTATGCGAGAATGTCTTATGATAATTGTGGTTATTTTTACCAATTTAACTCTTACTACTACGCTATAATCGATTTTATTTTATTTTTAGATTTTTTTCCATTGCCAATGCTCTTATTATGAAAATAAATTCGTATACCCTAAGAGTTTAGTCAAGTCGAAAACTAATTTTTTTTATATGATGAATTTTAAAAGGAATCTAATTGCATTCTTTTGTTAATTTGTTAATTCAAAAACTTAATATTTGTTCTCAACAGTAAAAGAAATTTTGTTGATTCAAATTTTTAATAATAAAATTATTTTGCGGTAATTATATTTATCTAATAAGAAATCTATTTTCAAATGATAAAAATGTCAATTTGACATTTAATTTTTTGATATTTTGTGTTTGTAGAATCATTCATGCTTTTGATTATTGCCAATCATTTTGTATCTCTTATATTCTTAAATTATTTTACGGTTATTTGTTCTAATTATTGAGTATATTTTTTAAATATTATAGTATAAGATAAAGTATACAAACTAATATTGATCATTAGTCACTATCTGATATATACCTGAAATTTCTTTTTCATGTCTATGATTTCCGTCATTTGGCTTTGTTGCATTTGACTTAATATATTTGTTCATCCTTCCAATGGCATAAGCAACTTTAGTTTGGTCTATATAAAGAACATAATAAAATCATTTATCAAATTAGTAGCAATAAATAATATTTTTAAAAACATAGGTTATGTACCACTAATCATTTTTTATAGTTATTGAGTCGTCATAATGTACTACTCCTTCCCGATGGTTTATGATTTAGTTTGCTGATTTTTGGTTATTGGTAGTTTTTTAACAATTCATATAAGGTAAAACTTTAATTGCTTTTAAAGTCTTAATTATTAGGTCTTTTTACCTAGTTTAAATAAGGAATGATTTAGTAAGAATTTTTTTAATTATTTTTATGTTCCTAAATTTTAGGAAAATAACATAAATTACAACTTTATCCAATATAAAATTTATTTTTAAAGGGTAAAAAAGGTCGCTAAGGGGCATCGTGATTTTAATATATATATACATGGAATTGAGGGTCTTTGTGGATCAAAGATTTACATATATAAATATATATNCTTGAGAATAGTTAAGAGAATATAATTCTATTTGTTACAGGTAGATAAGATTGGGTTCCTTCTTTTCTCTCTTTTGACTTATTCTTAGTTATTTCTCATTCCCATGCATTATTTGACGGACTGGACACTTGGTGACATGGGAGTGCCAGTATTTTCTCTCTGAACTGATCAGTTATTTTAATCAAAAGATGTTCACAAGTTTGATATTTTGACTGATCGTGTATTATTACATTGTTCTGCAACTTTTGTGGGATGCAGGACATTGTCACAGAGAGTGATCAATTCAGGTGAGCTGTTAATACTACCAATATCTTCAAACTGGAATGAATTTACTATTGTCTGGTTGATGCGTCTTGTATGGAAATAGCATTGAATTGATTATTTAATTTCTTATGCAGCATTGAAGAATTTATTCCATTGTTGAGAGAACGGATGAATGTCCTCAATCCTTATGTTCGCCAATTTCTTGTTGGATGGATCACAGTTTTAGACAGTGTTCCAGATATAGATATGCTCGGTTTTCTTCCTGATTTTCTTGATGGTTAGTGCTTGTATATCAAGTTTAGAGTCCTGTGCGATTTAATGCTCTGTTTCCTCACATCAATGCGATCTTACTTGAGTTGATCTACTGCAGGATTATTTAATATGCTGAGTGATAATAGCCATGAAATAAGACAACAGGCTGATTCTGCGCTCTCAGAGTTTTTGCAAGAGATCAAGAATTCTCCAGTAAGATTACTGCCACATGTAGATTGTTAAACTGTTAAATGATATATAATGGTTAGATGGCCAACAAAAAGGAATAATACAACTTGCAGTTCTTTATTACCCCCTCTGTTCAATTTATGTGTTTTACTCTCCTTTTTAGTATGTTTTTAAAAGAATGCCTCTTTCTATATTTAGTAACTCTTTANCAAAAAGGAATGATACAACTTGCAGTTCTTTATTACCCCCTCTGTTCAATTTATGTGTGTTACTCTCCTTTTTAGTATGTTTTTAAAAGAATGCCTCTTTCTATGTTTAGTAACTCTTTAACTCTAACATTCTACATGGCATATTTAAGACCATAAGATTGAAGGGCATTTTGGTACATTATACATATCTTTAGTTGAAGACACAAGATTTACAAGTTTTCTGCACTTTCTTAAACTTCGTGCCCAGTTAAACTAACAAACATAAGTTGAAACAGAGGGGGTATTATTATAGTGGCCCAGTTATTTAGGGAGATGCAAAAAATGGCTACTCTCAGGTGTAGCTTGTGTTTATCAGTATTGTTTTAGTAGTTGTGTTTTGCTTTTGATTTATACATGGCAGACGTATCTTTTCTATGGTTTTGTGTCTCCATCCTCTACAAGTAAGAAAAATATCTCTTTTTGTTAAATCATAGATATTTTGTTAAAAAGCAAATCTTAGTATGTCTTTTTCTTGGATTACTTTTTAACTTGAAACAGAACTTCTTTTCAAGTCTGTAGATTATGGTCGCATGGCAGAGATACTGGTACAGAGGGCGGGCTCGCAGGATGAATTTACTCGGTTGACTGCTGTAACTTGGGTAAGGACCTTGACATGTATTACTCATCAAACACCATGTTATGGTTAGCTTCATTTTATATTTTATTCCCCTTGGGTTTCGTTGGTATAAAAATAGTTAATAGTTCACTACTTGCTTCGAAGGGGAGCCTTGGAGCAACGGTAAAGTCGTTTCCGTGTGACCTATAAGATCACAGGTTCGAGCTGTGGAAGCTGCCACTAATGCTTGCATTAGTATAGGCCGTCTACATCACACCCCTTGGAGTGCGGTCCTTCCCCGGACCTTGCGAGAATGCGGGATGCCTTGTGCACTGGGATGCCCTTTTTTAGTTCTTTTCTTTCTTCGATCTGTTATATCAATTTCAATAGAGTGCTTTGCTCTACAGATAAATGAGTTTGTGAAACTTGGTGGAGAGCAGCTTGTGCCTTATTACGCTGACATTCTGGGAGCAATTTTGCCCTGTATATCTGATAAAGAAGAGAAAATAAGAGTTGTAAGTACACTGTCTGATAGTTGTAGTACTTTACATTTTTTCCTTCTCATGCCACCTTTTCTTTTTTGATGTTTTTGCTTCTTGTTATTCCTTCTGTGTCTCCCTTTTCACTTTTATCCTATTCTCTGCTTGTTCCAATCAGGTTGCTCGCGAAACGAATGAAGAACTTCGAGGCATCGAAACTGATCCAGCCGAGGGATTTGATGTTGGAGCAATCCTCTCCATTGCTCAGAGGTATGAAACTAAAGAGGAAAATATAGTGTTTGATATTTTGAAATAGTTTTCTCTTGATGTTGCATTCACTGTCAGCAATCAAAGTAATTGTATGACAGTGGCTTTTGTAATATTATTTAGGTTTCTTATAAACTTTGTCTTATCTGCTTATCAGGCAGTTGTCCAGTGAATGGGAGGCAACACGTATTGAAGCATTGCACTGGATGTCAACCCTGTTAAATAGACATCGCTCAGAGGTAACTGAAAACTTAACATCATGTGAACCATTCTTTTTTGTTATTGCATGATGACTATGCTTTTTCATGGTCATGAAGATGGTTATTTAAGTTGAAACATGGCTCAATATCTTTAATTTACACTACATTATCAGCATGGATGGAGTAATGGGTTTCCCTAGAAGCTGGGTAATGGAGCCTGGATTTGTATAAGCACTACTAGTTCATTGTTAGGTGGGAGTGAGTAGTCATAGGAATTATCAAAGACTTCCTACTAGAAAGAGCTGCATTATTGATTCTTGGAACTTACATTTCTTTTTTTTCTTCTTCATAACTTTAACTTAAATTACAGAACAAATTCAATTGGTTTAGCATAGGCCATTCTTTTACATCCAGTGAAAGAAAGGTTCCGCATTTTGCCCGTGCTTGTTCTCTCTTCTCTCTCTTCTAGGAGGATAAGAGTGCTGGAGAGTGGAACACTAGATCCTGCATTGCTGTCAGGTGTATTAAAGTTGCATATGGTAGTCTCCTCATTCAAATAAATGCTCATCATGGATAACTAAGAATTATTTAGATTTTTAAAGGTAAGATTATGTATTTGTCGTTTATAATTTAATTGTTAGAAAAATTATTGCTTCTCTAATCATATTTTTGCCTTACAAGTTAAAAATATCTTTCATGTTTGTTTCAACTTTCAGAAGTAATATGATGTATATTGTTTGTGAACGCTTTGATAATAGCCTTATTTTACAAAGATTTCTTTGTCGGTTGATCAATAATTGCTTCTGTTTGCTTACATTTCTGTGGTTCCTGAATTTTTATCAGCATATGTGTTCATTTTTCTTCTTATTTTTGAAACAGGTCTTAGTTTTTCTTAATGACATCCTTGATTCTCTTCTAAAGGCGCTATCAGATCCCTCTGATGAGGTACTTCATACTGCTTTAGTCTGCTTAAGATTAGTTTGCCTGGATGGTGTCACTTTACCAGGTTCACAGTTATGATCAACGCAAGTTATATTTCACATTACTTTTCTGCTGGACCTGGCCATGGCACCTTTGTTTTTCTTTATGGATGTTCTTGTCGCTTTGTTGGCTTTATTCGTATCTTTGGGCTTGCCCTTGGTTTGCTGCTCTGATATAGTTTATTGTCAAAATTTGGTATTATAAGTAGTTCCTGTCCTTCTCTCTTTTGATATTTATTCTTGACCCTTCTTGATATTATTAGTGTTGATGCATGACAGCTAATTAGTGTTTCTAGATTGTCCCCGACCCCATGTTTTATGAAATTTACACCAGCATCATTTGGTATTGGTACAAAAGCTTGTAAATACTTGCTTTAGTTTTTCTTAATGACATCCTTGATTCTCTTCTAAAGGCGCTATCAGATCCCTCTGATGAGGTACTTCATACTGCTTTAGTCTGCTTAAGATTAGTTTGCCTGGATGGTGTCACTTTACCAGGTTCACAGTTATGATCAACGCAAGTTATATTTCACATTACTTTTCTGCTGGACCTGGCCATGGCACCTTTGTTTTTCTTTACGGATGTTCTTGTCGCTTTGTTGGCTTTATTCGTATCTTTGGGCTTGCCCTTGGTCTGCTGCTCTGATATAGTTTATTGTCAAAACTTGGTATTATAAGTAGTTCCTGCCCTTCTCTCTTTTGATATTTATTCTTGACCTTCTTGATATTATTAGTGTTGATGCATGACAGCTAATTAGTGTTTCTAGATTGTCCCCGACCCCATGTTTTATGAAATTTACACCAGCATCATTTGGTATTGGTACAAAAGCTTGTAAATACTTGCTGTTTTGCACAATAACTAAAAAGCCTCTTGATTGTCTTCCTACACTTTGGCTTTTCTACTATGAATATTTGGCTGTTATTTTTTAGTTTATTGCCATGAATATCTTCTATCTGAACAAGTTGAATTCATTCTTTAGCTGCTTAATCTTCATAGTTAAGCTTAGTGAACTGCATATTTCCATAAATGCCTGTCTCTCATATTTCGTCTGACCCAGATTAACCCTAACTTGTAAAGAAAATAAAAGGTAAAGACAATTGTATTGTAGCTGCTAGTTCTAATCTATGGTCAACCTCCTTTGGTTGGAAGGGTTTTTATTTGAAAGGGGGTGGGGAGGTCAGGGTTGGGCAGATGTTTTTGTTTCGTTTTTCGGTTTAGATTGATATTACTGATTTTTTTTTTCCAGTTATCCAAAAGAAAAGTCCTTAATTATAATAATAATATGCTCTACTGATTCTTCACATCCACTCATTCGAGGTTGCGATTGTATAGGGAGTTTCCTGCTATTGTGCTGAGAGTGTTAGTTCTCTTTTCAGGTAGTGCTTTTGGTGCTCGAGGTGCATGCATGTATAGCTGAAGATCCTCAACACTTCCGCCAGCTTGTTGTGTTCCTGATTCACAACTTTCAGCTTGATCACTCACTTCTAGAAAAGTAATTGTTTTTTCTGTTCGTTTTTGGGGTGTGATGTTGGTGTCTTTTCATTGTTTCTTAAGTGTTTTGAGATCCGTTTCTGTTAGCTTCACACCTTCTAATTTCCTCTCAGACGTGGAGCTTTGATAATTCGTCAACTGTGTTTCCTTCTAGATGCTGAAAGAGTTTACCGTGAACTGTCTACCATACTTGAAGGGGAATCAGATTTTGATTTTGCATCTATCATGGTTCAGGTTTTACTTCTGACAGATGTTTATAAGGAGACTATCTTGATTCTAACAAATGACACGAAATAATTAGTTACAGTCATTATGCTTTGTTAAGTATCACTGCTTGGAGAAACTTATCAAAGAACATATTAGAGAAACTTAGAATTATGCAGCTCTCTTCGGGTCTGTAATGTTTGAAAAAAGGGCTGAGTAGTCTGCTGATTCCTATTTCAGGCCTTAAACTTGATTTTGCTTACTTCGTCGGAGTTGTCTGACCTTCGAGATCTTCTTAAACAATCGCTGGTCAATGCTGATGGGAAGAACTTATTTCTTTCCTTGTATGCATCATGGTGCCATTCGCCAATGGCGATAATTAGCCTCTGCCTATTAGCTCAGGTAGGACAGGACTTTTACTTGTGTCTCTCCAAATCTTTACCCCTTTTCCTATTTTTGAACAGAATCGACCTTGGTCTTGTATCTGTTTGGGATTACATTACAGGCATATCAACATGCAAGTTCTGTTATTCATTCGTTGGTTGAGGAAGACATCAATGTTAAGTTCTTAGTCCAACTGGACAAGTTGATCCACCTTCTGGAGACTCCAACCTTTGCTTACCTTAGGCTGCAGGTATTTTCAGTTTGTCCTTTTATCAAGTTGTTAATACTTGAATTTTTTTTCCTTATGTTTGTTTATGGTTTTGGCAGAAGCAAGTGCGTCTTTTTTTTTTTTTTGGGATCTTGTAAATAACTTTTCACTTTGAGGGTTATTGTTGAAGAGGTAGTCCAAAATCAAAAGCAACTGAGTGTTTTCATCTGTCTTAGTGATATGTGCTTCTTTTATCCCAATTTAGGATGTAGAGACCAACTATTTCAGCCGGAAAAAATAGAGATGCCAATGACGAAAACTGCTTAATGAAGCAAAAACGTAACATTTCTTTCCTTTGCCTTTTAGAATTAAGTTGCATTCTGTTATTTTTCACTCCTAGATGCTTCTGGATGCTTAGTATTATTGCATCAAGAATGTTTTCTTCGCTCCTACAAGCACATGGTTCTACTTTCTAGTATGTTCGGTGGAGCATGCCAAATGACCAAAATGCTTCTGTAGTCTATATTTCAGATGCATCGCAAGTAAATGAGCAGGGGAAAACAACCTGGAGTAAAGCAGATTAAATTACTATCGACTATCTACTTCACTGAACAATCTTATACCAACATATCATACAGCAAAAAGGCTGATAGATTACCAAAAAAATTCCCAATGTTTCACCAATAACACATCTTCTGCAGGCCTTAATTTTTGCTCCAGATTCCAGAAGTGTGTGCAAATGAAGTGGGTGTGGACCTAATTTGAGCTATGCCTTTCTTTTCCATGGTGTCAGTTGAATTAACTCATAGTTTTTGTGTGGTTGGATGTACTGATTGTGCTCAACTTATTGATTGCATTACAACATTTTGGGGAGTTACTTATTGACTGTTTCCTTGCAGCTTCTTGAACCTGGAAGATACATATGGTTGTTAAAAGCCTTATATGGTCTGCTGATGCTGCTACCCCAGGTGTGTTCTGAATTAGTTCTCTAGTGACTGCTTGAAACATTTTGCTTAATATGTTATTTTTATTGAGTTCTTAGTCATTTATCTGTGCCTATTTAATATTTTTTATTTATGTATTAAATTGCGCTTCACATGAAAAACGCGCGCACTTCGCTTTCCGCTTCTCGCTACGGTGAAGCAAAGCCTCCTCGCTTTTTTCCGCTTCTCGCTCTCCAAAACACTGCCTCGAGCAAAACAATGCTTCTCGACAAAGAGATACAAATCATCTCTGCTAATATCTCATAGGTGCTCCTAAAATGTACAAGAACATTAAAGTTTCTTTAATCTGTAACAAGGTATTTTCTACCTTTCAGTAGCTCGTAGGTTTTATTCTCTACAGATGGGTCAAAAAGTTCTACTGTTCTTGTACCGAGGGTCTATCGGAAACAACCTCTCTATCTTCTTAAGGTAGGGGTAAGGTCAGCGTACACACTACCCTCCCCAGACCCCACTTGGGGGATTACACTGGTCTTTTTGTTGTTGTTGTAGATGCGCCAAAAAGTGTGGGGGTCACTTCTCTTCTTTACTCCTATTCCTCCTAAATGGCCAACTTTGCAGCATCCTTTTGAAGGTGTCTGAAGTCGTCACTCAATCAAGCTCCTAAAAGATCCAGGCTGTCTGCATAGCCTGTGTGCGCCACTTGAAAAATAAAGTAATAAGTGGTTCACATCATGCCCTGCCTTTTTATAAATGAAGCATGAGCTGACAAGCTTTTCCTTGGTTTCATCAATGCAAGCGTGGCTTCCCCACTGAGCTAAATCACATTAAAAAGTATACCTTTCTTGGGCTTTGGGAACCCAAACTGAGCGAGAAAAATCATGTCCTCTGAAATCTATGATAGAATGACTACTGTGTAGTCGTGGTTACATATGTGTCTCCCATCTCGATTGTCTTCAAACATGATTGAGAAAGATTGGGATTTTCTCCTTATATAAACAACTCGAGGAGGGGTTGCTCTGATGGTAAGCAACCTCCACTTCCAACCAAGAGGTTGTGAGTTCGAGTCTCCCCAAGAGCAAGGTGGTAAGTTCTTGGAGGGAAGGATACCGGGGGTCTATTTGGAAACAGCCTCTCTACCCCAGGGTAGTGGTAAGGTCTGCATACACACTACCCTCCCCAGACCCCACTAAGTGGGATTATACTGGGTTGTTGTTGTTGTTGTTGTATAAACAGCTCGAGGAGGTTCTGGACCTCTTCAACTTCTCAGTTGTGCAGATTCATCTAAACCTATATACTGTGCTAATTTGTTGTATGTTGACAAGAAATCTTGCAAATTGCAGGGAAGTGATTTTCTCCTTAGTGCTGCTTTGTGATACAGTTATTTCTCTCAGAAAAAAATTTGTCTCCATAAATCACCTGGGCTCCATTCTCCATCTTGAAGTTAATATTTTTGATGAACTCCTATAATTTCAATATTTTTTTCCACAGGCTTCCACCACATGGCATGGTGGTCTAAGTAGTCCTATAACCCACTTCCTGAGTCCCATAGTTGTCTGCTGATACACACCTCCCATAATTTTTGAGATGGTTTTTAATATTTTTTTTTTGAGGTAGATGACACCTCCTATAATACCTGATACTTTTTGTCAAGCCTCCAAATTCACTTTCTATGGCATCGCTAAAATCCTCATATCACTCACTCTTCGAACCCAGCTCTCTTTGCTGTTCATAACAATTCGCCGCCTCCACTTTAAACTTCTGACAACAATTGCAATGTTCTCCCTTTCAACCTAAAAAGACAACCTAAAAGTTTTTCCAAATCCTAGAATCTTTTTGCCCACCCTTTGGAAACCTGAACTTTGCCCATTCGCATCTCGTTCTCGTACCCATCATCTGTTTCCAACCCCTCAAAGTTGCCCCTGCTCCCTCTACCTTTTCGAACCACTTGCTCCTCTTATTACTGTCTTCTGCTGGAATTTCATCCCAGAGGTGTGACTTTCTTGCCACGTGGTAGCTGCTACCTGATTGTTGCTTTTTCGCTGCCAATGCACCGACTCTCGCCATTAGGGTTCTTCAGTATTTGGCCTGCTTCTTCCAACTTTTACTCAATTTCCCATCATTTCGTGCCTAACCTTCTTTCTTTTGCAGTAAATAGGGTTTTCCAACCTGCTTCTGGTGCTGAACTTGGATTTTGGATCTATGGCGCCTGGCCTATTTTGTCCTATTGCTTCGCCGCCCTCAAATAAGATTGGTAGTCTTCATTTGTTTCCTTGTGTACTCTGCTGGACTCTTTGACCTTGAAAATCAGTGGCAAGTAGTAGTTTGTCGACTTGTCTCCAGCCACCTCCTGCTGCTTTGTTTGCTCCGTTTTCTATGGCCGCTTTCCCATTAACTTGATTTGGAAGCAAGAAGGCACCACAATATCGGTTGGAAATTGTTGTTGGTTTTTCGATTAAATTCTGCTGTGGGCTCTTTTAATTAGGATTTATGGGCCAGGCCAGATGTAAGTCCTTCACAACCTGAGTTGCTTTTCTGGGCATTGTGGAGCATGGTCAAGCATTGGGCCATTCTTCCTTTGGCTCCATCTTTGTCTGATCTTTCCACGACAGTTTTAAATATGCACCCTCCTTAGTTTTTCATCGTGACCTAACTGTAGAAGGCCAGACATTGCTCAACGACTTTGGGCTCTTTGTCTATCTTTTCAGTGTATTAGGTGTTCTTGTTGCCTCTTCCGTACACTCTCTCAATATATAGCATCAGGTGTCTATCTGACAGTTGGGTTGGATATTGTGTTTCTCGAACTTCTGCTGAGTAACAGATTCAATTTAGTCTCTCGACTCCATTTGAAGCCTCCATCATTCCATTTGTGACCAATTTTTCCATGTGGAGCAGGGCGTATGTTTTGTCATTCGGCTATGTCCCTGCATTACAGGCTCCTATAACCGGCTTACTACCATTTATTGAGAGTTCTGATCGAATCTCCCAAGCAGGCAAGTTTTAGGCATTTTTTCAGGTTCTTTGTTTCACAAGTAGAAACAGAGAACATTAGCTACGGTCTAATTCGTTTTACATGACAGTCATCGTTGAACAACATTACTGTCCAGGCAGTCACCTTTTTATTCAAAACGGAGCTCTTAGCATTTCTTAGGTTCTTTGGTTGATTCACAGAAATGAACAAGTGGATAACTTGATTATTGTTTGAGGTTCTAGAGAGAAGCAAGAACTTTCGTTCCAGAAGTTCCTGCAGCTTCCATAATTCTTGAGAGACATTTATAAAGATTGCATAAAAAATAGTCTCATCTGGCTTTCTCAAAAACGAAAAAAGAAAATTCTCATCTGGTATGTGTGTCTTAAGAGTTTCCTTGTATTAGCTTTTGTTTGCAAGTTTAGTTTCTCGAGTCTAATTTAATACAGTGCCAAAAGTTGAGCATATGGTCGCATGAGTAGTTCAGTGAGCTGTTACTTGTTTATATCGTTAGAATTGGTGTCACAGGGCTTTGATTTTATGATTAAAAGTGATCATAACTGCTTAATTTTTCATGTATAGTCATACTGACAACTCTAACAAAGAGCTAATCTGAATATTCATTTTCCTTTAAAGTGAATATTTGCTTACTGTCACTCTCTTGCTTCTTGTGTATTATCTGCGATGAGAAATTTTACAATTAGTGAGACACATGTATAGTGTGAGATTTTAAGTACATGACAAGTGTCTGATGCAGGCCCAGTATCTCCCTCGTCCCTTTCCTCTCTCTCACCCAGCTCTTCACCCAGAGATTTCTCCTTATTTCCTTCTCTGCTTCCTCCTTCGGCCGGTCTCTTCAATCCCCTGTTGGTAGAATTGGCTCCAAGGAAACCAAATCTCCTTCAAAAGCTATCAGATCTCTTAAGAAGCCAATAGCTACTTGGTGATGTTGTATTAAAGCAAGGGAAAAGGGTTAAAAATATCCCTCTACTATTTTTTGTTGTTTAGATATATCCTCCGTTATGCTATCATAATTGAATATACCCTAACCGTTAAGCAAAGTTTCAAATTTGCCCTCACTTTAACGGACTGGACATGCGGAAGCTATTAAACTGAAGATCCAACCCTTGAATAAAAAGACCCAACCCCATATCCTAACCCATAGCCCATTGGGACCTCTCCCCCTCCCATTAAAACCACTAAACCCATAATCCTTGATCATTTTTTCTCTTTCTCAGTAAATGCACAGACGCCGACTGTTATGGTATGAAGTAAAAAACAAAATTAGATTTCATAACTGATCTACCAAACTGATCATGACAGAGATAATTTAAAAGGTTTCCACTATAGCAACACAACATGATAACAGAATCTTTAATTCCTCTTAAAGCCTGCTACTGACAGAGTTTGCTTAAAAAATTTGAAGAAGAGTTTTTTATAATAATTTTCAAATTCTTTTAAAGACTTTCAAAAAGAAGATTTTAAGATAGTTTGTCGACCTATGCAAAGAGGAAAAAACTTTTCTTTCTTGGTAGTATGCTCAAAACAATCTTGCAAAAATTTTAATTATTAAAAAATCAAAATTTTGTAGCAAACACCACTAAATGAGCCAAAAAATTGTAAAAACAATAATTAGCAAAAGTAGAAATGAAAAATAATAGTATTCAGATCCAGAAATACACAACAGAAGGAATCGAAAAAGATCAGCAGGCCTAGGACCCAAACCGAGAAAAACATTTTCGCTATCATTTTTCTATATATTTTCTATGGATACATAAAACAAGAACCAAACCCATTTCAAGAAACATTGTTAAATTCAAAATTCTTCAAGCACAAGCACATGGATTATCAACCACAACAACATCCTCTTTGCCGGCCCTTAGCAAATACCCAATTACTGCCCGTTGGATTAAATGATTTTAATGGGAGAGGGGAGGTTCGAATGGGCTATGGGTTAGGATATGGGGCTGGGTCTTTTTATTCAAGTGGTGGATCTTCTGTTTAATAGTTTCCACGTGTTCAGTCTGTTAAAATGAGGGCAAATTTGAATGTTTGCCTAACGGTAAGGGTATATTCGGTCCGATAGTATAACGGAGGATATATCTAAACAATAAATAATTGTAGAGGGCTATTTTTGGCCCTTTTCCCTTAAGGCAATATAGTCTGCCAAATCAATGAAGCCTGTTGTTTCAACTTAAACGTCCAAAAAGGAAAAATTTCATCTTCCTTTTTTCTACCAAACTAGAACCAAACTCTTCAAGGTCTCCTATTGGCGACCCATCTTTTCAGTTTCTCCACAACCCCATTTGCCGCTGAGAGTTCTTAACAGCACCACCCTTACTTTTACTCTATACACTATCCATATTTCAATTCCTTCCAACCCTGACATGATTTTATGATTTCTCAAACTTCATTACCCAAATCAAAATAGAGATGAGGTTGTGGGTTAGTAGTGCTCCCATTTCGGACCTTAAACTGGAGGATATGGGGATTGGATGAGGTTGAAGAGAGAGAGAACATGGTGGAGAGGGTATGTGATGTGTCAACGAGTAAGAAAATTAGACGAGTGATGTATTCATCTCTACTTACAATGCACTGGTGGGTGGAGAAGGTAGGACATGAGAATGAAGATTGTGGGACCCACAATGTACACTTGTCAACTGATAAAAACGCTCACACATGACACAACTAATGTCAGTTGTGTGAGGTTTAATGTAAAATTTCTCATCAGTGATGCTTACCTATCTGACATGTGATGTGTGTGCCTGAGTCAAAAGAAATATTGCATGCCAAATTTCCATATCCTCATCTATAATGCAATTATATGTGCTCTTGCTAATCTAAAATATCTTTTAATCAATTGATGCAGCAAAGTGCAGCCTTTAAGGTTCTTCGCACTCGTTTGAAAACTGTGCCTTCATACTCCTTCAAGGAAGAGAGATTTAGGAGAACATCTGGGATTCCTTATTCTCAATTTAACTATGGAGGAGGAGGCTCACAAATCTCTGAGGATGGGGACCTCAATGAAAATTTGCATGACATGCATAGTGGTATAAACTTTGATTTGAAGCTGCAGCAGCTTCAGCAAATTCAGAAGCAACATCATTTGCATTCAAAGTCACAGACTCAATCACGTTTTGTTTCTACTTCGTGGATGAAGGTTTTTCTCTGCTTCCTTTGTCCACTTCTTCACTGATGCTTTTTCTACTGATTTTACGGATAATACTTAACTTGCATATTAAGCTTTACGGGTACTTGTTCAAAGGGGAACTTAATTTCTGACATGACTAATTTTGCTCAAGCTGTCAGAAGGATAGATGATTGACAGATTTTGTATGGGTCAGGGAAGGGGCACAAAACAAGATATATAATTATATGCTCGGACTGCTGCTATTCTGTTTTTCATTCTCTCCTCTTCCCTATTCAGGAGGTACAAATAGCAGAAGAATCAAAACGAGCTGCTTCAGAATTGAATAGGCCCCCTTCAAGATCATCTGGTAGAGGCTTGGGACAGTTGCAACTCTGACTGTTTTCTTCTGCCTCCTAATTGAGTTGATTATATGGTGATCACAGTACCTCATAAGTTGTAAATTATCCTAGTAGTTGTTTTCTCAAAAATTATGAGGGTTGAGATGGAAGAGGAGGGGAGAAATGGGTATTAATTTTTGGGCTTGGATGTTCCCTAGCACTTCTTTTTCCTTTTGAAAGAATATTTAAGGGATGGATTTTGTTTTTGTCCATGTGGTTCTATTATTTTTGTTGAATACCATATGGGCAAAGCATGTAGGTTCGTAGGATATATGAACAGTTCGTTTTATTCATAATTCTTCTGTTATAACATACAACAACAACCCAATAAAATAAAATCCCACTAGTGGGGTTTGGGAAATGTTCAATTTCCCATTGTTATAACATACAATGGTTTAAAAATATATGTTCAATTTATTCAGCATGCTCCTACCGAATTTGTATGCGTAAGTTCCTTTCTTGGGATTGGCTTGCGTATTGGGACATGAAAGAATTTTGAAGCTCTGAGTTTCAGAACGCAATTCTTGTTAGTTTGGTTGTGCGAGACATCTCATTCCCTCGGCATGGGCCAGCCTTTGGATTTGCACAGTACCCGCTTCTACAACGAAACTGCTCCCCCAAAATCGAAGCTGCTTCCTTCCCCCCTTCCCCAACCATTCATTTTCTTCTTGTTCTTCCCATATCGCTTACTGCTCCCCACCCCGCCCCCCCTTTCCTCTTCTTCTTCTTCATCTGAAACTCTCTCCAATGAGCAAGAAATGGTAGCCTAGCTATCTGCTGTGTTAATGGGATCCTGATTTAACTTTATAATTTCTGGATTTTGCATTGTCATATTAACCTATCTATTGCTCCTGTAGTGGAAATAGGAAAAAAATAATATAATATATACATTATCTGACTCAAAATTAGCGAAGAGATCAGTATTTTCCATGTATGCCCATCTTCATATCTGATATTCGCCTTAACTCTATCTAAATAAACTCTAACATCTTCTTTTTTTTGAGCATCCAACAACCATTGGTAGTCCATGGTACATGATTACATTCCCATCTTATTCCTTTGTACTAGTCCTATCAAAGTACACATATGATTCTTTTACTCCTTCAGGATATTTTTACTAAAAAAATATAGCAGATTTATCTCGATTTATCATTTGTCCAGAACTTTGCTCATTATTCCCTAAGATACACATTCATTGCATTCCTAATATTATTTGGACAAAATATGAAAGAATCCTTTGGCAAAAAATAAGTGGATGTCACGACCCAAAATTCACCTAATCGTAATGGACCTAACCCTAGTGCTAGGTAAGCCTGACATAGAATAAGGTTACCCAAGTGAAAGATCAAATAACAACAAGAATGAAAACAATTGAATTTTATACAACTTCCCAAGGTCTGGTAGGACAAGTCATGAGTCACTATGACTTAGATTTACAAAATCGACATTAAGAATAAATACAATATATGTTTGAAGTTTGCATAAATAGAGATGGAATCCTAAACTACCATGAACAAGAGGTAGCTTGAATCCGGAACGCATGTACGTCTTCAATTCAAGGCTCCGTCTTCCACAGGTATACAGCTCCAAGATTTGCACGCAAGGTACATATGTGTAGTATGAGTACAACTAACCTCATGTACTCAGTAAGTATCTTAACTAACCTCCGTAAAGTAGTGACAGAGTTTTAAGTTAAAGATACTCACTTATTATTTTACCCGCGCAGTTGATAAAGGGAAATAGAGAAACAAATAACCACATAATGAACGAAACAAGAATATAAATGACAGAGGGGCACAAAATATCATCATTACTCAGTCTCACAACACTATACAGTAACATAAACCAACAACCAAGAATAACCATAATACATTTTCTCCGTTGCGACGTGCAACTCGATCTAATATATAATATCAGTACTGTTGCGACGTGCAACCCGATACTATATATAATATCAATAACATTGCAGAGTGAAATGTCACGACCCTAAACCCGGACCCGGTCGTGATGGCACCTCTCGTGAAGACAATGCCAGCCGACATTTCCCATTTTTTCAATTATTAACAATTTAGCATTTAGAAACAGTCTAAACATGAATAGATAATCCAAAGTAGCAGATAATATCATAAATACGCGGAAGAACAACCCAACACAGCCCAAACCAGGGTGTCAATAGTCATAAGCATCTATAAAACCCAATACAAGTTTGAAAGGTCTACAACTAGTAAAAAGTCTGATATGAGATAGAAATGATAAAGAGGGAGAAACACGGGTCTGCGGACGTCAAACAACTACCTCGTGAACTCCGAATATCCGCCGGGAGCTCTCAACTCGCACTGGCAGGATCAGCAACGCCTGAATTTGCACATAGGGGTGCAAGGAGTAACGTGAGTACTCCAACTCAGTGAGTAACAAATGTAAATAAAGACTGAAAGCAAGAAATCACGTAAGGCACAAAACATTCTGTAATGAAGCAGTAAAACCAAGTAAAATCAGTAAATCAGTGAAAGATAGGAAAATTTCTTTATCTCAAATGTAGTTTCATGAAAAGCCTTTTCAATGATTAAGCAGGTAATTGACAGTCAATTTATGAAAAATAACCACATAAAGGTTCGCCCCTCGGGCACAATATCAATAAATCCGCGCCCTCGGGCAACATTTCAGAACAGTACCAGCCCCTCGGGCATTCACATAGAACAATACCAGCCCCTCGGGCTCAATCTCAAATCACAATGGGTACCCGCGCTCACTGGGGGTGTGCAGAATCCTAGAGGGGCCCCTTACGGCCCAAACGCAATATCAAGCCATCTCGTGGCATCATCACTAGGCCTGAGATATGTACGCCACGAGATGTTCAAACCCTCAGAACATCATTTACAATCATTACTCACCTCGAACCGGCTAAATCTCTAGCTCGCGACGCCTTTGCCCCTCGAATCGGCCTCCACACGCGTCGAATCTATCCAAAATCAGAACGAGGACGTCAAAATATGCTAAGGGAACGAAGCCCAAGCAAAAACAATAAATAAATGGCACAAATCCCGAAATTACCAAAATCCGACCCCCGAGCCCACGTCTCTAAATTCAGAAATTTTTACACCAATAGATTCCTTATCTTCCCACGAGTTCATACATATCAAAAGTTCTCAAATCCGACCCCAAATGGTCCTTCAAATCCTCAATTAAAGGTCTAAATTTTCAAGCCCTAGTTCTTCAATTTTTGGCTTAATTTCCATGATTTTCTAGGTGGAATTAACATAAAAATCGAGTTTTTAGTCCAAAATTCGTACCTCCAAACGTTTCCCCTTGAATCCCTCTTCAATCTCCTTCAAAAATCTCCAAAAACGATCAACTATGGAGGAAATAAGCCCCAAAATCGCAGACAAGACGAGCTTAAAAACATTCTGCCCAGGCATTTATTCCTTCTTCGCAAACGCGGTCAAACCCTCGCATTCGCGAAGCACTAATTTACTTTGACCAATTTTCTCCTACGCGATCGCGACCAAGCCCTCGCGAACGCGATGCTTTACCCAGATAAACCTTCGCGAACGCGCTCCCTCAAAAGAGACTAAGTGTCTCAAACCTTACCAAATTCCTTCCGGATTCGAGCCGACCAACCCGATATCGAATAACACGGATAAACAAAGCATAAAGAAGCAAAAATGGGAAAAGCGGAGCGATAACTCATGAGACAACTGGCCGGGTCGTCACATCCTCCCCAACTTAAACAATCGTTCGTCCTCGAACGAGTCAAGAAACATACTTGAAGCCTCAAACAGGTGAGGATATCTGTTCCGCATCTCCCGTTCGGTCTCCCAGGTAGCCTCCCCCATGGAAATTGCCAAATTATCAACTTCGCCAATTCAAGCCTAAATCTACTCCGAACCTCCAAAACTCATTCTGATCACGCTCCTAAGTCATAAATCACCTCCTGAAGCTAACCGAACCATCAGAACTCACACTCGAGCCCTATAACACATAAGTCAACATCCGGTTGACTTTTCCAACTTAAGCTACCTCAAAAGAGACTAAGTGTCTCAAACCTTACCAAGTTCCTTCCGGGTTCGAGCCGACCAACCCGATATCGCATAACACGGATAAACAAAGCATAAAGAAGCAGATCAACTAGGAATATGTTACACCCCAAGTTTTCATACGTGAGAGTACATCGTAAGTCATTGATGTAAGCTTGGAAATGAGATTCTATT